TACTTGGACTTGGGAGACTATTATTTATGGTTCAAAAATTCTTTCAATTTTTACCCAACCCACTGGCTTTACTTCATTGAAATCCACGCATTACATAAATGACTATACTTGGACTTGGAGGACTATTGTTACGTGTTGTCATACTTGGCCAACCTACGTGGGCCTATGACCCACTCAATCTGAACCACGTGGCGCTCTAGTCGAGGTGGTTTGTATATCCGAGGCCCCGTATGCCGAGGCCTGTGAGGATAGCCGAAGCCCTAAAGCGGAAGTACTATATTAGTGGCAGAAGCCCCGAATCCGAAGCTGAAGCCCCCGAACCATGAAGGAACGTCTTCCATAATCGCATCTCCTAAGAGATCTTCTACGTAAAGATCTTGTTAGAATGATTGATGGAACGTTTGTCATAAGTATATAGGTCAAGTCTTGTCATTAGCATTGAGGTTCTGCATAAGCAATAAATGCGCAGCAAGCTAGCAAGTTAAGGATGATGCCTAGGATTGGATGTTTGAATTAACTCATCTAAGAGCTGTCATTTCACATGTAACACTATAAATACTTCCATTGTATAACATTGAAGGACGAATGCAAGAATCAAGACAAGAAATCACACTTTACTATCTCTTTTTCATATTATCTTACAACACTATACGAGTTCATACACATTTACATGCACATTCATGAGCACCGATTGATAATTATTGTACAATCGGATTAAAAACATCCCGCTGAATTCCAAACGTTTTTGTCCCGCACCATTAAGCTACTCCCACGCCCCCGATTCGTTCGTTCTAGACCATCCACGTGTCTTAGCGTGTAGGACCTTCGCTCACGTGTGCGCGGGTGGGTCCGACATCTGTTGGCAACACTTTTTGGGATTAACAGAGGTGTCTTTTTATTGTTCTTGTTTTCTCTGTCTTTCTCCATGTCATTCTCCCAAATTCTACTTCAGTTAAATTTTCTTGAAACTCATTTTTATTAAAATTCACGTTCAAGCACGCATTTTTTGATACCCGCAACTTTATCAATTTTTTAATCACACATTTTATTAACCTTTATCAAAATTTACTAAAAATTTATTTTTTATCCAAACCAAAGAAGGGATTATCCAATTTTAGCTCCCCCTCCCCCAAAATTTCTTGAAACTCATTTTTAACCAAATTCATGTTAAACTATAAATTTTTTGATACCCGCAACTTTATCAATGTAGCAACCCGAAAATTTTATAATAAAAATTTATTTATTTTATATATGTTATATATTTACATTTTAAAGTTGATTACTCAAATGAAAAATGTTTTAAATTATATTTTATTTGGGTCAAGTAATTAAATTTTAATAGAGTGAATATAAATATATCAATATTGTACTTGTTGGATAGCTCGTAATTAATTAGAAATCTTTGACTCGAGAAAAAGTTATTTTGGATAAGAGCACATTAAGTTAGACCCAACTGAAAGAAAATAGGAAAAATAGAATTTCATATAAGTTATAATATAATTCAAATCATTTTTCTCTTTCTAAAAACTTGTAAGAATTTTAATCATGTGTGCCTCGGATTTAGTGTTGAGAAATTCATAAATTTGAGAAGTCTTTTCACCTAGGAATGCTACAGAAGTGAGATAAGTTATACCCTATACACACATATACGGTTGGACAGAGATAGTGAACTTCTTGTAATTGAATAAGATAATAATAAAGTACATTTTGAATAGATGTTTATTTATCTACTCTAACCTGCACCTATATATATAGGCATGATGAAAAGTTTTACTCACACAAATTCTTATCACACATACGGTAGAGAGAGAGAGATTGAAATAAGAAATTATCTTACATCAACTATCACAGTCAATCAATAATCTTTTGTCAGAGTAGAGGAAGGAATTTTGGAACGTGCATTCAAATACTATTTTTATATTTTAATAACAAGATAAGATACTTTATGTGCAAGTGTTTTTGTTTCCTCATGTTTTTTTATTCAATTAAATATGCATAGATTTCTAGTAAACATTCATTTTTTTTAAGAGATATGAAATTCTATAGGATTATAAGAGGACCTAAGATGAGTGTGTCGCTTGATTACCGACTGGGGGGCACGTACACGCTACCGGCAACGACGTGTCAGTGTCCGACACGTATCGGACACTGACACGTCGTCGACACGTGTCCGAGTTACTTGTGACGTGTCGGAGAAGAAAAAATGCAGATTTTATACAAAAGGAGGTGATCGGTGACTGAAGAAGAAAACTGAGGAAGAAGAAAGAAGAAGATACGCAGAGAAGACGGTGGAGAAGAAGACAAGCACTGAAGGAGAAGACACGAAGAGACGTGAGGCAGCCATGCAGGAATTGAAAAGTCAATGACGTAAATCAATTGCTTTTGTTGGGCCCAATAACAACAATATAAATTTCTTTTAGCCTATATTAACTTTTTTTCCAGCTTTATTTTTTAAAAATGCAATGAATTATTATTTTTGCCATTTTACCCTTCATTAAAAATCAAACATACAAAAAAAATCAAATCTATAATGTGTGCATATATATACACACACTATAAGTTAAAAATAATATTTTAATCAACGTGTTGGTGACGTATTGTGTCGGAACTTTTTCAAAAAATCGCGTGTCGACATATCGGACACTCGTATCCGTGTCGGTGCGTCTTAGATTACCGATATACTCCATAAAATCAGAGTGGTATGAAGTATATAATTGTTATTGTTATATATTTGTATATGAAAATTGCACGTATTTTACTGGGAGTTTTTGAATACTCACTCTTACAAATTTTTACAGGTTAGTTCGGGTCGATTAGATTTGTGGTAAGACGGTGATGCGGGCTGCCAAAAGGATCGTAGGAACAAAGAATAAATTTTTTATTAAGTTTTTCTACCTTTCTAATTATTTGTTGATTTATTTTAAGACATATTTGTTATTATTTTTCAGATACGATTGCTATGTTTACTTTAAATTTATGAACGCGGCAGTTATTATTTATTAAATAATTTTATTTTGATCTTTTCACATGTAAAGTAAAGAAAAAAATGAATTTATGGTAACGCTCCAGTGTTATGAAAACTTGAGGTGTTACAATCAATTTTTCAACCACACATTTTACTGACTCTTATCAAAATCTACTAAAAATTTATTTTTTATCCAAACCAAAGAAGGGCTTAACCAATTTTAGCTACTATATAATCTGCAGATGAAAAATTGTAACTGCTGAATATTTTAAAGTTAAAGCTACTTGCTCGGAAGCACTATCTTTAGGAACGTCTGAAGAGATTTGGACCAAATCAACACAAGCTTTTCTTCTTGATTATCTTTTGACCAATACAATGCTTTTATGATATTCACTATTTTTTGCTTTGTTTCTGTATGTTCTATTCAATGCTCAATGTAGTCTGTTCATCATTGGGATACTACAACATTTGGTGATCGGGAACGACAAGAAAAGTTCAACAAGCTTATGGTAATTTGCATCCTTTTTGTTTGTCCTACTATATTATACAGTTATATATGTTTGGTTCACAATATTAGATAGGGTTGGATCAGTATATTGGACAAAGATTTTAACTTCTATTTCGTCCTTAGTATTGTCCAATTTACCTTATTAAACATACTACAAATGAAATCTACAAACTAGTGGGAGTTTTCTTTGTCCATACTAACACACTTTTAGAGTCTGAGGTTGCCTTGGTACCTATATCCAATTGTAGGGCGTGAAAGGAAACACAAAAGTGGAGCAAAAGCTAGGCAACCAGAACGTGGAGAAGCAAAGAGAGCAACTCCAGTTGGATCTCGAGAAGCAATACGCTGCTGGATTGCGTTAGAGAGATGGTCTGACAATTGGTTTGGGTCTTTAAAAATTTACTTTAGGTACTTTCAAACTATTTTTAGATTTCTTCTGGTCTTGTTCTGTTATGCGACTAAACATTTGTTGCGATGTTGGTTATCCCTTTCAGCTCAGTATGTTGGTCTGTGACCAAATATATGACACAGTGGAGATTTTATTGGAGTCTTCAGCCATGTCGACAATTTTATCGTCTAGTTTTCTCTGTACATATATCCAATTCTTCATGCTTGAAATATCTATCGAGTTTGTTTGGGATTTAGTTTTCTCATTTTGTTGAATTGTTGGGTTCTATGTCGTTTTTAGAAGTACCCGTACCACAGTCAACACCGTCTAATGCATGCATAAAATACAAGTTAGACGATTTCTTGGAGAAATATACGTATAACACAAGATATACGAGTTAACTCAACCTCTTGCTCGCAAAATAAAGAGAATATGAATTATGGTTGTGTCTTTGACAATTCTATTATGTACTCAACGAGTGTGTCCTTATATACAAAACTCAGATGCAGCTTACAACCCATCGCCAGATTGTGTTGAAACCAATGAGCTAAGGTAGCTACTTGCCCTAAAATTTGCCCAACGAGGGAGCCTTCCACCCACTTTATTACGCATCATCATGCTACATTCTTGATTTGAATTGAAATATAGATAACGACTAATATTTACTTATTTCCAAATTTAGTACATTAGACAAGCGCAAACCATCACACCAACTAGTTCACCGTCAGTTGATTTCCACATTTAGCTAAAAATGGATTTACCGTTTTTCTCAATTACATGTTTATACACTCAATTATGCCCATGCTATGTTGAGGAGAGCATTCCTTTTCTTAGCCAGCATGTTGGTCTATTTGCCTATGCCATGCCACGATTACAAGTCATTGTCAAGTCAAGATGATCAAATGTAGATTAAGTCACTAGTAAAGATAGACTAGTTCATCATTCAAACCCAATTGTATTCAAGGTGAACTGTTAACGATTATAATCATTGTCAGGACATGATGCTCAAGTTCGAATTCATAAGTTAGAATATTAATCGTCATGGCCATCGCCAAGATAAGACCTTTTTAGTTTGGATAAACCTTCAATGAACAAGGATCAACTCATGTTCTAACTTGAACTAATTTCTGACTGGACTATTAGTTGTCTTGCCACTGTCAAGTCATGACCCTCGTGTTTGGATGTTTGGATCAGCCTAGAAGTAACGATGAAACGGTTCACGACCCAGACCGAGCCAGCCTATTTCAGCCTTTCAAGCTGGCCTAGCGGGTTGTGAACCAGCCCAAATTCGTTTTACCAGACGTACACAATACAAGCGAGAGAGAGAGGCGTGAGAGGAAATGGTGGGCAATGGCTGCCCCACCCGGTATGTTTTCCATAATAGCCTTTGACCAAGTAATTTGTTAAAAAAAAAAAAAAATGTAAACAAAATGTGGAGGGTCGAAAATACCCTCATTTAGAGGAAAGAAGAGAAGAGAAAATAGAAAGAAAAAAGAAAAGAAAAAAGGTAAAAAATCAGCTACCGACCATTTCCTCCATCGCCTACGGACTGCTCGGACCTCACCAACTTCGACCAAGACCAGAGCCACCTCGGATTCGCCGGAGACCGTCATTTTCTTGAAGGTTAGACATGTTTTCTATAAATAACTACTTTGAATTTGTGAAAGTTTGAATGTTTAGGATATGAATATGGGTTAAATTCATGTTTCTATAGTTAAAATGTAAGAAAATATCGAATTTGAGGTTAAAATCTTGAAAAAAAAGTGAAAACAAGG